AAATGAACTAGTTATTTTTAAGGTATTCACTATTTCATTGTAGATTGTAGAATGTGTAGCCAATTTCCAATATCATTATCATTGGTCTGTTTTGGCTCAATGGCGCTTCGAGTTGTAGTGAATTTTTTTGCTCATACGTAGTGGTTTGAGCAGATTGTTGAACCATCTGTGCTGAAGAAATCATTCCGCTTTCAGCTAGCTTTTGTCCTATCGTTCATTCATAACTGGCTCATATGGAATTAAGTCCCTTGGTTAATGACAACTTTCAGGCCAAATCTTGGCTAGGCATTTCGTAGCGAAACCTGCTTTTCAATGCGGATGTACTTGTTTCGACGTTGTTATATCTTGACACCATCAAGAGGTATCGGCGAGCTGTTTACTCCCGAATCCAGTATTGAACTCGAAGACTGTTACTTTTTTACCTATAAATCGGATATCATTTCTATTCGACACTTAAATACTCCGAAAGCTTCTTTCCTGGAGGTCTGCTATTGCAGTTGTTGGGTCTTTTGGGCAAACGTCTTTGCCGAAGAAGTTTTATTCCCTTCTAAACCATCTCATTACGTGCTTAATGACTGATGAATTGTCACTACACGTTTAGTCTTAATTGATGTTTTTAATCGAAGTTTCTGTTTTTTATTTGATAGATTCGGATTTCATTCACTCACCTTATTTACCCCATCAAATACGCACCTATGGATGAGTGCATACAAATGACAACCTTACCGCTGAATCGTGAATTCTAGAATCCTCTTGTGGGTCCATATATGCTGATTTATATGCTCCATCTTTTGTTTTTGGTGTTTTGTTGCTGGAGTGGGGAACAATCCCCCTGAGAGCATCTGCACCTAGGACGAAAAATGAAGTAAAACATTTGATCCCAGTTTGCATGTGAATAGTTTCATTGGCGTTGAGACCGTTTTAGAAAATTTCCAATGTTTCATTCCTTTACGAACTACCTCTTGCCGCTGTGTGAGTAGTTTGAAAACCTATTTTCGCATCACTCACTGTGAAGAAAATATAGCTATAAACATCGTCTGCGATTCCGTGTACTCATTTGAAGCGTCTTCTAGACAAGTTCAAGTAATAGTGTGGGAACAACTATCCGATTGACAACTCAGTGTTTGTCCACATTTATCGAAATTTAACTTACGATTTGTGCCATGTCGTTACTTGTTTGTACTCTAAAAGCTTTTCACTAAATTAACGCGCTTCCACTAATTTTATATTACCTGCACCATCGAAAACGTAAGTAAATGCCATTATCTTCCGAACCTGCTTACGATAAGTACGTCATCTTCAGGCTGCGATTTAGTAAAGGCATGCAGGACCACCGTTTACCGCTAACCCTAAAGGCTCTTGGGTCAATCCTCGCACCATTCTTACTGCTTGGTTTTGGCTTCGAGGTGCACTCACCCCTTCCCAGTCCCCGCTTTCCCACTCCCCTTATCTCTGATTTGTTGTATGCTATCCACCTCCGTTGCTTCAATAATTAATCTTTTCATTGCTTTCCATCCAGCTGACGTCATGGTCTCATTTGGTGCGAAAACGATATATGCCGTTGATGTAGGCTCCGTCTATGACACCAATCTGACAAACTATGGTGATTGGCTCTCGGGCTGGTGGCTCATATATCAGCGTTTCTTCCGCTGGTGGGGTCCTCCTATCAGGGTGAGTTGCCTCCAGTCTAGGGCCATGATTTGACGCAATATCGATGCCGTTCTTTTGCTACTCTCTTCCACCTTTAAATGTCTCGTTATTTCTGCTACTACTTCATGTATTTGGGGGCAAACTTTAGTGTAAAAAATGGTATTTCCCTTGGGTAGTAATATTCATTTTTGTATAGTCTAATGATAACACTGAGCTTCCAGCGTTTAAAATAGATAAATTTTTGGCAAATTGGCCGATTTCACTTTTTCCCGTATTAAAGCGTTGCTTTTGAAAGGTTTCAGCCCTTGCATTGATGGATGTAGCGTCTTGTTCAAAAACCACACCATAACTCTTCACTTCTCTAAAGCATAAATGTTTCCAGGGTAATTTTCAATTTGGAGCAAAGTGGGTAATTCTTAACCCTCTCTATCACAATTGGAATTTCATCCTGTCGTGGATAAAGTGTTGAATATGATCTAGTCTGACTGAAAAAAAAAACAGGCTCTTTAATGAGAGGAGATTTGGTGACACAATGACTTTTGGAACATTCTGATTTACATTTTACTTTAGCTTTGTAGGATAATATTTGCTCCTACAAGTGGGTGTTCAGTTTTGTTAAACCAAGTCTATTTTTATTTTAACGACGATCTACCCCAAGAAGATTATTTATCCGACGTCTAAATATTGCCTTAATTATGTGGGCGTAAGGTCAATGTTTCACTTAACGTTACTACGGTTTAAGGACGCACCGAACTGTCAAAGCATCTCTTCTCTTCCATGCCTTCGTAATTCTCCGGCCAAATGGATACGTATCAGTGAAGGTTGTCCCAATTGAGTAGTCTTCCTTTTCAACATCAAGCTTAGACAGCTCCAAACACGATTGGCTTCCCTGTCCCTAGTTAGAGACCATTCACCTGGAACAATTTAGAGTCATCGAAATTTTACTCTATTGGCTATCTTTGGAAATAGTTTCTGTGGCTATTCCTTTACCATTGGCGAAAATGTGGAAGCTTTTGGATTTTAAGCCGATATTTTCTTTGTGTAGAACAACTCATTAAAGATGGCTTTTATAATACAGCTTGTAGATGGTAATAGAAACTTTAAACTGGCTAGAGGAAGGCTGTGTATAAAAGGCTAAGTTGAGTCCGCATACCCTAGTTCTCCACTTTGTGATTGTCTTTTTTAGTTGAAGTAGTAGTTCTAATGGTTTCTTTGCGGCAACCATACCAGACGCCAGTTTTACATTTTACTTATGTAAACACAGAAGCGAGGATAGCACTCTTTATTGCTTGCTCTCTGCCGCGTTTATATATTTCTCCCTCACTCTTATCTCTGTAGGTACCCAACTTTACGGAGATTCAGTCGCGATTGGCCTACATCTCTTGCATTCGTCAATTGGAGGAAGTCAAAGCGAGTGGAATTTGTCATTATCTTCGCCCTCCAATTGATCGTTTCATGACTCTCCAATTCTCAGCCTTTGAGGAGATTATGGTAAACATTTTCTCCTTTCTTGTCTATATTTGTCCAAGGCGAAGCAGTTATCTTAGATACCAGTGGTTCACACTTGGAATGTGTATTTTTCATGTCCTAAACTCTATTTTTCCAAACCTTGGAATAAACCATCTTAAAACAGCAGAATAGCTAGATCGGGCATGGTTAAGTTCCGGAA